CTTAGAATTTGGAGAGCAGGTAGGAAATGAAGTAGCTTCCCTCATTTCCTGCTGAAAGTGAAAATTGAAAAGGCTTGGGATTACTTTGGATGAGCATTAAAATTTCCTTAGATGATGGATGGATAATATAATACGACTTGGAGGGATGCTGCTTTGGCCTGCTTTTGAAAATGAATTATATCGAATGATGAGGGCTTGTATATTTTTGTTGGTGGCTCAGAGTAAAAAAGTCCTATTTTCTTGTTAAATAAAGATTATATGGTATATATACACTTATAAGAATATTTAGAAATGATAGGAATTAGTTGATAGCTCTTAGAAAAAAGGAAACAGGAAATATTTTCGTAGATATTAGATACAATCTTGATCAGTTCCGGTTTAAATTTGTTTTAAGCAGGAAAGAAAGATTATAAAAAATATTTATAACAGGAAGCTCTAGGTACTTATAGGATTTATTTTAATTACGGTTAAGATAGCAGGATAAGCATATAGTACTTATTATCCTTATACGTTTACCCACCTCAAAGCAACGATTCAGCCATCACTTATGTCTCTAATCTAATGACCCTACAACGCCCCATATTTCTCAAAGTTCTTATCCCACCCAAATGATTTCGAACGGAAAAAGTGTATGGAGTAGAGCAAGACCTGAATGGAAATCCAAACTGCAAACTCCGCATAAAGAGCGCCACTCCAGCGACAATCCACTTGCAGTCTCCACTAGCCTTGTTCCAGCTTGTTCTTCTCCTTTGTCGGGGATTTATGGGTTTTTTCCCCGGAACGGGGACCTCGGATTGGGACACATCCTCCCCTACAGTTTTCGACCCACGCTGCTGGCACTACAATAGTTTAATTAACATTAACGCTGACGCCAACTACTGATGGCAATAAAAAACCATTAAAAGGAATTTATTTTAAGGACCGAACAGGCAATAAATCACATTACATGTCGCTATAAAAACAAAAGGCAACGGAAAGCTCTCTCTTCTGTGGCAGGTGGCACTGGATGAGGGGGCGTGGTCGGGCTTTTAGGGGGCAAAATAAGAGCCAGCATGGGGTGGCAATAAAACGGATGAGAATGTTTTGTATATCGAAAAATCAATGCATCAATTTCACTACCATGGGCGCGCGGGCGAATAAAAAAGGGGTGACGACAGAGGTCGACGCGAAAATAGTAGTAAAATGTTTGTTTATTTTTTATGTCCATAGTTTGTAGCCGCTTTTATTTGTTATCACGAGTGCCTCGTGGGGGCTTTGGCGCTAAAAGCATCGGCATTAAAAATGACGATAGGACATCAAAATGGAAATTAATGGCGATTATGTGGCACATAAAAACATGAACAGAAACTAACTGCCATATAAGTAATGCGCTTACTGAACTGCCCCAACTTGAAACCTAATTGATAAGGGATTATATGGAAAATGTATTCTCTACAGTTTATTTATGCTTTTAATGGCAGCTGCTGATTAGAATTTTCGCGTGTGTAAATAATGCAAAACTAGCCTAAAAAGCTGTAAAAAATGTTAATGTGAACCCAATGCATTCATAAATGTTGCAAGCTGATATTGTTTTTTATTACAAATTTTTCAGGAATGAAATGGTGTTTTTAATGGGTTTATACGAATGTTTTTAATGTAGAAGATTTTTATGACTAGATTACAACTATGGTATTTTTTAGCAAATAAAAAATGTAGATATTTATGTTGTACTTGTGTCAAAAATGGGTTGATACTAAAAGGAATAATAGTCGTTAATTTTTAATAGCTGTTTCCTTGCTTATGGCTATTGTACAGGTAGTGAGGATCTTGCGCTATAAACTCCATACCATTTCCTAAATCGCATCGCACTCTGGCACTATCAATCTTTTTTGTACCCCGGGCAACTTTCACCCGTTTGAGCGTATCTAGTGCCAAGTAGAACATCAACTGGCTTTCAGACTGGTTCGTTTCGATGGGGATATGGGGATATGGCATCGTGTGCGTGGCTGTATGGCTTTGTGGGACCATAAAGCTGCCTGACAGAGGGAAAACACATTGATTTGCCATTTGAGCGCAAATTCATCGCAATAAAATCAACGTTGGTAAAGTTTTTTAATGCCACTTTCAATATTTGTTTGCGCACACCCCATATCTACCCACTTTGGTGGCTGTTTGTTCTGGTGGTGCTTGTTTTATTTTATTTTGCACCCCCAAAACCCAAACCCGCTATATAAACCCCGCCGGCGGGCAATTGTAAAGCGCGTTTTGTAATCGAAACTTTTAACGACTTGATGCGATTGGAAATTGTGTAATATCGAGCCACTAATACACACACCACTGGCGAATTGAGGACCCCGTCACATATGGGTGGGGAATCCGTATCCGGATCCGAATCCGAATCGAAATCGGAATCGGAACTCGAGTCCGTATCCTTGTGCGTGTCTGTCCCGAGTGGAGGGTCCTTCAGATTCTTTACTGCTGCCAAGGGCGCTACGTTCCACTGAGCAGGGCATATCGGTTGATTGCATAAACCCACCGATGCCGACGATGACGCTCTGAATCTGACATATGCTCGAGTATATGAGTATAACGCCGACGAAGGTCCTTAATTGATGAGGTTTATAATTTCTTTTTTATTTCATCTCCTCGTCACTTCAGCAGCTGGGGTAATTCCTTTGATGTGCCAGTCGGTGGTTAAGAGCACGGAAGCCATCCAAGTTGGCTAATTAATTGAACTGATGCGGGAATTTTGGTGGGGGGATGGTCCTTGAAGTAAACACTTACTATCAGGAGATATATATGCCCCCAGCATGGTACAAAGCCAGTTCTTAATAGTAAGATATATCAAATCAAACATAATCCTAAAGTTTTTGATTCCATAAAAAATAACAATAGATAAATAACAATACCATAAATCCCAAACCACTTGGGAATCACTTGCCTAACCAAAGTCGAATTTCCGACTGCTTAGTGGGCGATTATTTGTCGATTTTGCAAAACTTTCTCCCTGCCCAATTCACCTTATTTGTGAGAATTGCTTCCAAAATTTATGTAGCTCCATTTGCCGCTACACACGCACATTAATATCAGCTTCGAAAACCCACTCCCACGGCGATTGAAAAAAGGGGCTTTGCGGATTCGTCACAGGCCGTCGAAGATATCCCTCGAAGTGCTGGCAAAGCAATCCGCAGCGACGACAAAGATGTGCTAATAAATTTCAACTTAATTTCCGAAATGTGCAACTAACACATAAAAAGCAGGACGGGCACGGAGGCGAAGGATAAGGACGAGTGGCAGGAAGCAGGACCCTCTGGGGGCATTGTTCCTGGAGGATGGCGAAAAATTTCGAGTACGGTTTTTGCATAAAACTTCAATTTAAATTGACATTTGAGTGGAAAGTAATTGCATGATATGCACGGAGCATAAAAAGGCAGTAACCGCCCTGGGAATTGGGCGTGCTTAATATATGGGCCATACCCCTGATACCCTTCGCCATTCACGGCTAAGCTTTTACACTGGAAACAATGGGAAATTAGTAAAAATTTGGATAAGTTTAAATAAGAATCTTAACGGCTGCAATAAAAGTACTGAACGTATTTATAAATAAATTTCATATTTGTATTAATATATTTATTTATTAAAATTATAGAATTAAGTGATCTCTAAGACACTAAGAAAATAACTTTTTAACGTACTTATGAAAACTTTAATATTATATTAAAACATATGTACAAATTTCAATATAATAACAGTTTTTATCGTTCTTATAAAATCTTTGAGTATTATATCAAAATAAATACAGTATAAATGTATATATTAACTTTGGTATTATATCAAATTAATATTAGAAAAATCTAAAAACTTTGATATTATATAAAAATAAAATATATACAATGTTAGTTCATAATAATATTGATTTAATATATAAAACTTTGATATTATATAAAAATTAAAAAAAAATATGAATATATAAGATCTTTGATATCATATCATATCAAAATACAAAAAATATAATGTTATTATAAAAGAACATTGATATTATATCAAAATAAATATAATACGAAGTGTACGTACGCTGTTAAAGTTCAATTAAAGTTAGGAAATATTTTTGATTTGAGTGTACTTTTTGGGGCATTAAATGCGACTTCGCTCTACTCCCACCCATCCATCCATCCATATCCATGGCGGGAAGTTCTACTGAGCTCATTATGCGCTCGTTTATATGCCGCATTTGTTGTTGCGGTCCGGTGTTGTTGTTGCAAAGTTTTGTGCACATTATGAGGGTCGGTTCTGCAGAGTCCCAATGTTCCGATGTTCCGGGGCCTTTTGGGTTCCGGGTTTTTGTGCTGTGGGCCAGCGAATGCGGGCAATTTTTGTATCTCCGTTTCGCCGTTTTTTTGTACTTTTGTTTGTTTCTGTTTCTCTTTTAAATTAAATGCCAATAAATTTGCATTTTTTGTGCCACGCCCCGCTCGCCACTTTTACGCCCATCATCCCGGCAGCAATTGCTCTAAGTGCGGAGTTGTGGGGGAAAAAGTGTCATTTGCTCTGGGCACTCGTGCCTTCGATTTGGTTTACTTTCATTTCATTTCATTTCGTTTGGTTTCATTTCGTTTCGTTTGGTTTGGTTTTCCGGGGTAGAAAAGTTTTTCAATTCCCGAACCCACACAAAATGTCCAAGTTTTACAGTCGCAAATAAATGTTGTTAATTTGTTTTAATTTCGAGCACATTTATTTGCTAATTTCCCTGACAAGGCAGTCCAATGGAAAATGTATTTGGATTAAAATAATTTGGTTGGTATGCCCTTGAAGGCTGTGTTTTTTGTTTTCCAAACGATTACCCAAGACAACTGACTGAAAGTATAGTAGGGAAAAATAGAAGAACACGGTGTGTTAAATGGAACTCGGAGTAAAATAAATTAAATTAAATCATTAGCATGTCAAGACAAAATGGACCTGTTATTTTCAGAGACTGTTTATTAAGTCATCTTATTTTATTTTTAAATGTCATTATAGATACCTAAATAAATACATTTTATTACTACCAAGTCAATAAATATTTGATATATTATTCAAAACTTAAATTATGATGTTTTTGATTTTCTAAAGATATTCAAATGTTGAGTTTGGTTTGACTATGAGGGGTTGAGATTATATTGTGGTTTTTTTCTTTCGACATCAGCATATTCAATTTCAAACTTTCAGTACAAAGAATATTTGGCAAAGAAAACAAATAACAACTTTAATTAAAATGTGTTGCTATACGTTTTTTTTATTTTAAAACTCAAATTTAACTTTTATTGTTTTAGTAGTTGGTGCAATTGGTCTACATGACCCGGTTTTAATTGCTCCGTACATCCATAGTAGAGGATATCGGAGATCAATTTGCGGGCAATAATTCTTTGATCATGGGATAGCTCATCGAATTGATTACTCCAAGTTTGAGCAAGAGCATCCGATTCATTTATGTGCGTTTTGAAACAGGTTGGGGTTGAACCTTGCTCTGGGGTTTCTGGAAAACTGGAGAAAGTGTTGACGTTTTCCATGGGGAACGATTTTTCAGGTAAAGGGCTTAAGTCGGAGGATGCCTGAGACTCCTCTTTGATTGTCCGGCATATCTTTTTAGGCGGCGATACTTCTGAGGCATTTGTTGGGGTCTAAAATTAGAAAAATAAACCAAATTTTAGTTTTAAAATATTATTAGGCATTTGTTAAAATCTAAAATTAAAATATAAACCAAATTTGAGTTTTAAAGTAATTTAAAAAATATTAATTACACAGACAGAAATATTAAAGATCATTGTTCTTGAATTGAGAACAATTATTCTTAAAGACCGTGTAAGTAAATTTCGGTATCAATTTTCTCAATATTAGAACAAAATGGTAAGAAGAGAAAAGATAAATTGAGTTTATTAAACAACTTTTTGATAAGTATACACTGCTGACTGGACTAATAGTTTATTTGTTGAGATATACAATGTAAGTAACGCCGATTCAACTTGATTTGAGCCAAATGAAAACATTTTTAACTTCAAAAATTTCGTTCTATTTTTGAGAACGTCAGAATTTTCTCTGTTTATCAGTACGTATATAATAAAACTTGAACTTATTATTATACCCGTTACTCGTAGAGTAAAAGGGTATACTAGATTCGTCGGAAAGTATGTAACAGGCAGAAGGAAGCGTTTCCGACCCCATAAAGTATATATATTCTTGATCAGGATCACTAGCCGAGTCGATCTAGCCATGTCCGTCTGTCCGTCTGTCTGTCCGGATGAACGCTGAGATCTCGGAAACTATGAGAGCTAGGCTATTGAGATTTGGCGTACAGATTCCTGAGCTTCTTACGCAGCGCAAGTTTGTTTCAGTAGACTGCCACGCCCACTCTAACGCCCACAAACTTCCCAAAACTGTAACTCCTACAGTTTTGATGCTAGATAGAAAATCTTAACTGAAATGTATTGTTCTCATCAATACCTATCGATTGACCTAAAAAAAAGTTTGCCGCGCCCACTTAAACGCCCACAAACCGCGAAAACCTGTGACGCCCACAATTTTCATGCTAGATATAAAATTTTAACTGAAACGTATTGGTGTCGTCAATACCTATCGATTGATCCAAAAATAAATTTGCCACGCCCACTCTAACGCCCATAACGCTTAAATCTGTCTACCGCCGGTAGGTGGCGCATTTTAATCTCGCTTTGCTGCTTGCATATCTCCATTTCCCTTTGAGTAACGGGTATCTGATAGTCGAGGTACTCGACTATAGCGTTCTTCCTTGTTTGTTATATGAACTCTGTATTTACTGACATAGGCACTTGGCTCTGGCGGTGAAGTCACAAGTCTATTCGTTCTGCGATCCGCTTTAGGGGTCGAGGACTTTTCGTCCTGCCCCTCGAGGAAGCCCAAAAGGTCGAAGTACCACAGGGTGGACTGGAAGGACTCCCCCGCCGCGGAGCAGCTATCCCTTCGCCGAATGTCCCTCCTGAAGTTGGTTCGAAAGGAGTTGATCTTCCTGACAACCAAGGACCGATTAGCCATTGGCTCCACCTCCCTCAACTTCCGGATCAGGCGATCATATCCGGCGCTCTTCAGAGCCCGACTGCTGTACTCGGTGCTATGGATCTGCCAGACGGCCGGAAGCGATCTGTAGAGCAACAGGAACTCCGTCCAGAATTCGCGGTCTCGGGAATTCATCCCTCGAATGTCCGACTTTGGCGAGAGTACATATAACACTGAGTGACTCAAGTGGCCAGCGCAATCTTGCATGCGCAATCTGGAAAGAGAGTGGTGAAAGGGGTACGAAGAGCGAATTTCGTTATAATAATACACTTTAAGTCTTATCTTTGAGCATGAGTATATTAGATGAAAAATCTATGGATTTACTAAATAGACAAAATAATTTTTTTAATTTTTTTTCTAAATATTTTAAATTTAAATTATAATCAGTATTATTCATAACTATATACACCTTCGAGAAAGTTTAATAAAACATCTGTCTGAAATTGAGATATCCTAAGAATCCCCAAAATGTAGCACTGTATCTGGGAAAAGAGTAGTGAATGGAAATAAAGAACAAATTTTGTAATAGTAAAACATTTTGAGACTTGTCCTTGAGCATGTGTATATTATTGTAGATGGAGTGTCTAAAGATCTACTATGCAAAGAACCTTGTTTTTAGGAATTCACAAAAATATTTCAAGTTTAGATATTAATAACTTAAATGTGTACATATATTTCTTATTGTATACAAATTCGGGTATGTTCCATAAAACATATGTCTGTAATGCTATCCTAAGAATCTCCGAAATGAAGCACCTTATTACAAAGGTCTAACGTAAATTAAAAAAGTTAAGGGACGTAAGCTAATGGGTAAAACAAAACCTATATAAAAAGGCTTACAAATAATGAGACATTTTTCTGATAGGATTAAGAAGTGTTTTTTTTTATTTGATCTAATTTGTTTAATATTTTTCCCCAAGTGTAGTGGCTAAGTGTGAGAGTGAGAGAGTCCAAGCTGTTTGTGCAAACGTCAGCTTTGATTGCGCCCCCCTCTCAGTGGCGTTCGCTGATTACATGACATGGGCGGCTGACAGGGGACTTCGCTATAAAAGGGGGTTTGATTACACTCCTTCCTCCCCTCCCCCACATTTCCATTCACTTCTCCCAACATCTGCAGTGCTTTTTTCGCCAAGTTCTCGATTTGCACAAACAACTCTTGCTGCTGTTTGTTATTTTTATATGCAGGCACACAAATACATTTCCGAGTAGCGCTCGGTTTTTGTTTGGACAACAATATTATTGAATATTTTTCGAGAATTATGGATCGTACAGGGCCGCTGACGGGCTGCTCACAAAAATATTATTTCGAATTGCTGCCAAGTAAATTGACGCAATTGGAATGGAAATTATTGCAACCGAGTCATATGGCTGCACTTTCCATTTTTATTTGTTATTAATGTATGAATTATTTAATGTGTTGTGGAAATTATTAGTAAAAGGGACAAAAAGTAACAAATAACAGGGCTAATTAAAAATTCGGGGTATAGATATTATTTTCCTGTTTTTTGGGTCTCCTTATCACAAGTAAAATGTCCCTCAAAGTCATTTGTTCCATGAAAACAAACAAAGTCGACAGTAAAGCAATCCCTTTTAAAACTTGTACCTTTTTTGCCCTTTTCCCATTTTTTTGCCCCATTCTATTTTTGCTGCTGTTGTCCGTTTCGTTTACATCAAGTAATTGAAATAACGTTATTTACATGACAAATGCCAAATATTTGCGAGGATACAAATATTGATGCCGCGAGCACATTTAAACATGAGAGCAAACAGAAGGAGTCCGAGAAAAAGACGAAAACCGAGTCCAAGTGCGATTCCAATTTCGGAATCGAGAATCCTGGCATCCGAGCATCCGAGAACGGGCAAAAGGACCTTCAGGATGAAGACATTCTGCACTTGCTTCAATTATGCGTGAAAGGGCCAGGATGTGCGGGGAAGAGGGGCGAGGGGAATGAAATTGAAGTGAAACTAAAGCCTTTTGCAAATAGTTGTTAAAATATGTCAATAACCTTGCCATTTACTGGCCGGCCACCCCATTAGAGGGGTCTCAGAATCAATAGTAAAAGCTACCCCCGGACAAGAATTTCGGACAGGACATTGACGACGAAGTTGATGGCTTGACACTGGGAAAAATAACTCACTGTTCCTTAAATTTAAATGCAAGGTTATTTTGGAAAATAAATTTATATCATAGCAGAAGATAATATATGATAATAACAAATATAAGAACATTTTATCACAGACTATGTAATAGAAAATATCTGTTCTTACACAAAGAAAATTCTGACGTCCTCATCTGAGTTGAAAATGTTCTTAAAAATAGAAGACATTTTAAAGTTGAAAATGTTTTTATTTTGCTCGAATCAAGTTGAATTGGTGGTATTTACTTACACTGCATATCTCAAGAATGAAACTATTAGTTCAGTCCGTAGTGTATATTTAAAAGTTGTTAAGTAAACTCAATTTAACTTTTCTTTTCTCACCATTTCGTTCTTATATTGAGAACATTGATACCAAAATGTATTTACACGGTTTTTAAGAAAGAATGTTCTCAATTCAAAAAAAAATCTTCCTGGATATTTCTAATATAGGTACTTGAAGTTGATATGATACAATTTTTCTCTTACTTTTTGATCTATTTGTATTTAAAACAGAGATTAAATTTTACTCGCTGGATAGGATTGGAATTTAAAATATGTAAATTAATATTTAAGATTAAAATAATAATATTTTTAAAAATTGTTTAATTATTTTTTACAGTCTGGATTTAACGCCATTACAAATGGCCTTTAACTAATATTATATAAATTATTATTAAGACTACAGATTAAATGTTTTAAAAATGTACTTTTTTTTCTCACAACTCTCCCAACTTTGTTTTTCTCTGAGTGTAGGTCAGAAAGGCAAAGGGATGAGAACTAGTGATGCACAGAAAGGGCGGCAGAAGGGACGACGGGCCGAGCGTAGTATACACGAATAAGCGCAGAAAATGTTTAATTAAATTCCGGGACACATTTGGCATGTTACATTGCTCCACTCCGACCACAGCCGTATCCGGACGGAGGGCTCCGTTCTCCGGTCTCCGGACGGGGGACTTCGGGCCGGACTCATTGGCAAATTGCAAAATGCTGGCAGCGGGTCCCGCCCCCTGTTCTTGGGACCCCAAACCAACCCCAACCCCAACCCCCAAACCAAATCCGATTCCAAGTCCTGCCCACCCCGGTTAACCGAACGACTGAAACAGAAATTGCAATAAAAATACCGAAACGTAGCAGAAATTAAGCAAAGCAAATTATGTCGTTGCCTAAGCTATTGACATTTTCCTTGTTTTCCTCGGTATCGCTTGTTTTTCCTGCCATTCTTGTTTTCCCAGCCATCTCACCCAGTTGAGTGGTACTCTATGCTCTAGTGGTTTCATCTAAGTGGATCCTCGGTGGGTTCTGAACTATGCAAAAGTCCTTTAAGATGGTAATTGCACTTCTGTAATATTCCTGAATATTTTTACGCTCTTGATAGCTTTGTTTTTGCAAGCTACTGATTTTGGAAGACTATTAAGATATAGGTTTTCACAGAAAATTATATTTGGCTTACAATAATATCTAAATGGGGCATGTAAAAGTTACATCTTTTAGAATTACTAAGAAAATTTTGTCTAACTGCAAGGATATACTAGTATTATGAAAATGTTTCTCATCTTTAAGACAAATGAGCACATCCTTCAGAAATAAATACTTTGTAAGCCTGAGTAGTAAAACCTTCAATAAAGAATAATTGGTGTATTTCAATCTTAAGGTCAAAGCCATGGATAGTACTCTTTTCCAAATTAGAAAGCATCTTGCCATCCAATTAGGAAATAAATTTCCACCCCAAACCAACAGAGTTTTCAGTGCGCAGAGGAAGAAACCGAAGGAAAAAGGATGATTTAAGTTCACTTTCGTAGATGTTTTTCGGGGTCTGGAACGTGCAATCAAATGAGCGGGCAAATGGCTCATTTCGAGGCCGTAACTCATCCGAGTGGGGCATTCATAAAACCTTATAAGTATGGACTCTAGCTGGTTGGACTGTTATGCTTTGTTCTTGGGGCACGTTTATGGGATGCTATTTGTAGATGGCCTTTTAGAGGCCGGGTTCGGGCATTTAGGCCCTATTTTTACGATCTGCCCCGGCCGACGGTCACTCTTAATGATTGATAAACCACACGGGACCAATCAACACCAAAGACGGGGACCCAAAGGGCTCTCCGGAAAATCAAATCTGCGCGGTCATACCATTTCATCCCGAATCGTTTCCTATGCAAACTAAAAACTGAAATCGTCTCTGGCCGTATCCCCCAGCTTCCCTTTTATTTTTTATTTTTCTTAAGATGCACATCAAATTGGCTAAATTGTCGTGAGGCTCTGGGTCTTAAGGCCCCATCCAGGGGACTCCTCCATGGAGTGGAGTGGAGTTTGGAGCTGGAGTGGATGTGTGGCTGTGCCTTGTTCGTATACCAGTTTCTTTATTACAAAAGGGGGCTTGGGTCAAATCAACAACCGCAGCAAAAACAACAACAGCAATCGCGGTCGACAGCGACGACGTCGTAAAAGAAAACAATATTGTAAATAAAGTTTAGACTTTAAGCCAAAACTGGTTTTGAAACCAGCGAAAACAAGATAGAAAGGCTAACCAAAGGGATCGACTCTAGCATACCTTTTTTTAGATAGGATTTAATGTAGAACGGATTGTATTTAATGCATTAAGAATGCATTAATGCATTATATTTATATTTTGAAGATTTAAAATAGAAACTTAAATATAAATATCTTAATAAAAATGCCATAGGAACACAAATCTTTTTTAAAATTAAAAAAACTAGTAAATATGGGTTTACTTTAAGCCTCTACTCTTTTAAATGTTATTTAAGTGGCTAAGATTTGGCCTTCGCGATATATCTAATTAATTTCTACGCATATATATAACATTTTTACACAGGATCCTAACATATTTCTTAGGTTGATGAATTTTAAAAATGTATTCTTTGTTAAAAAACATGTTGGTTTGCTCAATTATATATTTTTGTTATAATTAAGTTAAAAAATGATTCATTTAAAATATTCTATTTTAAGGCATGGCAAACCTTTCAATTAATTTAGAATACCTTTCTAGGGTATGCAATCAAACCCACCAAACATCGTGACTCTCAGTAAC